TGGGAGGACAAGAAACAGTATCAACAATCAGTTCCCACATTGGCCCTAGTCTGAGCTGAGCATTAGTTTGATCTAACTGCCAACTCACTGCAATCTAGACTGGGGTTTCTGAAGTTGGCTTTAAAAAATAGGCCAGGGGCATTATGGGATTGTCAGTGGGGTGAGTTAGATCAGTGCTTCTCAACCTTGAGAATGTTAAGGGATGTGGACTTCAACTCCCAGAATTCCCCAACCAACATGCTGGGTGTGTGGACTTCAATTCCCAGAATACTGGCTGGGGAATTCTGGGAGTTGAAGTCCACACACCTTAAAGTTCTACAGGTTAAGAAGCCATGACATAGACATTAGAGGGATTCCAGAAAAAGGTACTTTCTTCTACGGCAGTGTTTCCTGACCACAGCAACTTCCAGGATTGTGGACTTCAAATCCCAGAGTTCCACAGCCAGCATGACCATTGGTGAGAATTTTGAGATTTGAAGTGCATACTCCTGAAGTGGCCACAGTTGGGAATTCTTGTTGTAAATAGGGTGTATTAGGACAATCTTGGAAGCCTGTCCTAATCCTTCACTGTCTGTTTCTAAGGACAACAACCTCAAGGTGAGTCAGTCCTGAGTCTTTTTCTCATGCTTTCTACCTTGGCAGAGCTGACCGTCCATTTCCTTCTCAAAGCCAGAGCTACATTCCTATGTAAGCATGGGAACTGTTTACAAAGACTGTCTATATGTTAGATATGCCTCTCATTTTAAACAAAGCACTATTTTCAAACCAAGAAAGGAGCAATGATCGTTTGCAGAAGAGCAGCTGTGTGTGTTTCAGGTGGATGCTTATATTTCTCTATATTTTGAAAGGTGAGGAGGAGGAGGTTAGTTGTGGCATTCTAGTTTCTTTTCATTTCTGGGAGAAAGGGAAGGGTGAGGACAATGACTGAGGGAGAATTTCAAAAGCTAGCTGGATTATTATTATTTTCTATTTTTGCCTCAGCGTAGTATTGATAAAAAATGTGCCTCTACCTGGGCTCCTACCATGATCTCAACATGATGCCTTTGTCAAGTGCAACAGACCAGGTTCACACATGAAGATTCAATTAAATTGATTTGTTGCTAAAGTCTGCGTACAACAACGGTTAGATAAGGGTCAATGGGGGTTGGGCTTAGTTTTCTTGTGCCTAGATAGGGAATCTGGACCGATCCCTCTTTTCATTCCACTCCCAGGTTCTACCATCTGTTCTCCTCCATGACCACAAACACAGGTAGGGATGGGAATACAAAATAATTCTGCAGGAAAGTAGCTAATGAGTACACTTCAATATCCCTCATGAATTTAGGGGATACGTAAAGATACAGATAGTCCTTTACTTACAACAATTTGTTTAGTGACCATTCAAAGTTACAAGGGCACTGAAAAAATGTGACTTATGATCATTTTTCACATGCGACCTTTATAGCATCCCCATATCACGTGATCAAAATTCAGATACTTGGCAACTGGTTCATATTTATGACTTGTTGCAGTGTCTCAGTGCCCCTTTTGTGACCTTCTGACAAGCAAAGTCAATGGGGAAGCCAGATTTACTCAACAGCTATGTCACTGTTTTAACGAGCACAGTGATTTCACATAACACGCGTGGTGAGAAAAGTCATAAATGGGGCAAAACTCACTTAACAACATAAATGTGTGCCTCGATTGTGGTTATAAGTCGAGGACTACGTGTACAGCGGAATGTTGTACTTACTCTTCGGGTAGGAAACTGGGAGGTAAATGCAGCAGACAGGCACAGATTGAAAACTGTAAAAATGATTAGTATTCTGAGATAGCGGTGTTGGACTGTAATGGTGATGTTTGACTTTCATGATGAAGAAGGTCATCTTGGTACATAAAACTACTCCATTTTCACATTGGGTGCTTGTCTTCGGAGGCCTCGGCGGACCTGATGTGGCAAATGCAGCATTCAACCTGTCATACCCTGTGTCAGTGCAAGCTCACTTCTAATTGACAAACATGAAGAGTTTGTTTTCCAAAACATCGACTTGCTGTGAGGTGACAGGTCAATGACATCTCTGTTATTTGCAGCCTATTTGGAGGGATAAGGATTCCACTTGAGTGCTCCATTGCCAGGAGAGTTGATCTCCCACAGAAGACGTCTAGGCCAAACAATAACAAATGGAAGGAGTGTGTGTTTTCACAAGAAATGCTCTGCTGGAGCCCTCCAGACGCACATTAAGTTCTGTTCTCACATTTATTTGCTTCACTTATTTATTTATATCCCACTTTTATTATTTTTATAAATAATTCGAGGCAGCAAAAAAAGCACAAAGCCTCCTGTTTTCCCCACAACAACAATCCTGTGAGGTGAGGTGGGCTGAGAGAAAAAGACCAGGCCAAAGTCACCTCGGCGGCTTTCACGCCTAAGGTACAGGAGCGGGCTGTTGGGGGTTCGCAGGGGTTCAGAAGAGCCCCTTAGCTAAGATTCTGTGCAGTTCAGAGAACCCCCAAATCCCCCTCCTGGCTGGGCCTGCCTGCTCCACGCCTCCCCGCCCCTCCCAGGAGTCTCCATGTGGCCCGTTTGGGATGCAGGTAAGTGCAGGCGCGTGCAGAGACTTGGGGAGGGTAAAAAATGGGCCTCCTGGAAGTTTGGGAAGGCAAAACATGGGCCCATTTCCAGCTTCCAGAGCCCTGGGAGGCTGTTTTCACCCTCCTGGATGCTCGAGGAAAGCCTCCGGAGCCCGGGAAGGGCAAAAACATCCCCCCTACCGCTGTGGTTCTGGAGGCCGATTAGGCCACGCCCACCAGGGCCATGCCCACCCAGCAAGCGGGCAGAGAACCCGTTGCTAAAAAAATTTGAAGCCCATCCCTGCTAAGGCAGAAGTAGAACTCACAGTCACCTGGTGATTGTCCAAAGTCACCCAGCTGGTTTCAATGCCTTCGGCAGGACTAGAATTTGCAGCCTACCAATTAATCCTTTGAGTATGAAATTACCTCTCTGCAATCACAAATCAAGATTGATCGCCATAGGAGTCAAAATGTCAATCTTGATCATGTAATGAAACCTCCACCCACTTTATGTAAGCATAAGAAGCAGGGCCTTTTATCACCTGGTTGCAGCCAGTTTCTTGACTCTCGTGTGGACATCTGTGTTCTCCTGCATGTAGAATATAGCTAGTCCTCGACTTACAACTTGTTCATTTAGTGACCATTCAAAGTTACAAAGAAAAAAGTGACTTATGCCCATTTTTCACACTTATGAACATTGCAGCCTTCCCACGGTTACATGATCAAAATTCAGACATTAGGCAACTGACTCCTATTTATGACGATTGCAGGGTCCCAAAGTCATGTGATACACTTTTGCAGCCTTCTGACAAGCAAAGTCAATGGGGAAGCCAGATTCACTTAACAACCACGTTACTAACTGAACATCTGCATCAGTAAGGTCATAAAATGGGGCAGAACTCATTTGGGCAAATGTCTCACTTGGCAGCAGAAATATTGAGATCAATTGTGGTCATAAGTCAAGGACTACCTGTATATCATTGTCCTTTGTGGTAGTGAGTTTGTGCTATGTATGATGAAGTACTTCCCTTAGCTCAGCTTGTCTTTCCTGCCTTTCAGCTTTATAGAATAGAATAGAATAGAATAGAATAGAATAGAATAGAATAGAAT